TTCATCCAGACCAACATAATGCCTTCTCTGGGCCCCAGGAGCAATGCTTCTGAGCCTGGCCCCGCCCTCGTCTCTCTCTGCTTCCCTGGGCCTGCACCACCCTCCAGCCTCTTTCTGGGACTCAGGGGCTGACCTTTACTCTTCCGGATCCTTTGTATTGAGACCAACCCAGCTCCTCAGTGCAGTCCCCAGGAGTCCTTGGGGCCTATTCCCGCCCCATCTGCCTTTGCATCTCTGGATGGCATGGCCACCAGCTGCCCTAGACCAGCATCTTTCCTGGGCCAGGCTCCCAGGCCAGTCCAATCCCCAAATTCCTGAGGCCAAAATCGTTCCTGGAGAGATCCAGACCTTAGGAGAAAGCCTGAAAACATCTGACCCTCATCTGAATTGGCCCTCTGTAGGAACTCCTGAGGAAAAATGCAATCTGGCCACTCCAATATAAAATCAAAAGAGAGAACCAGAAGCTTGGACAAACCAGCTTTTCATGCCCAAAAAGTAAACCACAAAGACACATAAAGTTCACAAAAAGAAGGAGACCTAAACTTGAAGGCCTGAGTCTCACACAAGAATCAGAAACTACAAAAGAAATTCACATGTCAAAATCACACAGAAAAAATAACACGAAAAACCAAAATAACATATCCTACCAAATGCCAATAGTCCTCTAGAGGAGTACAATGAGAACCCCCTAGAGATAATGCAGGACATGGAACTCAAAAGAACAATTATAAACATGATAAAAGAATTCAGTGAATTTAAAGAAAACACAAAAAAAATCAAAGAACTGAAGGAACATAGGGATAAACTTCTGAAAGAATTCAGAAAAGAGTTAGAAATATTGAGGAATACTCAGGCTGAAATGAAACACTCAGTAAGCCAATTAAAAAGGACAGGACAGCCATGTGTGGTGGTGCACGTCTTTAATCCCAGCACTTAGGAGGCAGAGGCTAGTGGATCTCTGTGAGTTCAAGGCCAGCCTGGTCTACATAGTGAGTTCCAGGACAGCTGGGGCTACAGGGAGACCCTGTCTCAAAAAGAC